CTTGACGGCGAATCAAGCGATTCTGGAAGCTACACAGAACTCCAGCAACATTCACATCGTCGATTTCGGGATTTTCCAAGGTATTCAATGGGCTGCTCTCTTGCAAGCTCTAGCGACCCGAGCTTCTGGCAAACCCGCCCGAATCCGGATTTCGGGTATACCCGCTCCGTCTCTCGGCGAATCACCGGCATCGTCTCTGATCGCTACAGGTAACCGCCTCCGCGATTTCGCGACGCTTTTGGATCTGAATTTCGAGTTTCATCCGATTCTCACTCCGATCCATTTACTAAACGGGTCGAGTTTCCGGGTTGAACCGGACGAGGTTCTGGCCGTTAATTTCATGCTCGAGCTTTACAAGCTTCTCGACGAAACGGCGACGACCGTCGATACTGCTCTCCGGCTCGCTAGATCGCTAAACCCGAGAATAGTGACTCTTGGTGAATACGAAGTGAGTTTGAACCGGGTCGAATTCGCGAACCGGGTGAAAAACGCTCTCCGGTTCTATTCTGCGGTTTTCGAATCACTCGAACCGAATTTGGAGCGAGACTCGAAAGAAAGGCTGAGAGTGGAGAGAGTGCTTTTCGGTAGGAGGATATCGGATTTGGTCCGACCCGGTAATATCAAACCGGAAATCCGGTCAGGGCGAATGGAAGTGAAAGAACAATGGAGAGTGTTGATGGAGAAAGCCGGTTTTGAGCCGGTTAAACCGAGCAATTACGCGGTTAGCCAAGCGAAACTGCTCCTGTGGAACTACAATTACAGCACAATGTATTCACTGGTTGAATCGGAGCCAGGTTTCATATCCGTAGCATGGAACAATGTGCCTCTCCTCACTGTTTCCTCATGGCGTTGATGGTCTGATCCAATATAATCTGAACCGGCCCGTATAACTTTTTGTGTGTGTAGTGTTGACAAACTTGTAGTTCACTATTTTGAGTTAGTTTTTGGATTTGGAATTGTTCGAGGGCTAGAATTGAAAATTTCTTTCAAGTAGTGACGTTTTAAAAAAAAGTGTTTTTAGATTTGGTTGTATAATTACTCTTTAGCTAAGAGTGTGATGGACATGGTTGGTCTTTTTTGTTCATTTGAAGTATCTTGTATCTAACATTCGACTAGGTTTCTTTCTTATAAAAATGTAAGTGTAGTGTGTACTACTGTCACTGTGTAGCTATCTTGGTTTTATACTAATTAGCTGCTTTATTAATATTTTGAATATAAAAAATGTGTTGTCAGAGAGTTTCTGACTTTGTGTTTTGTTACGTCACGTAAGGTCTAACCTCTGAGTGATGAAATATTATTGCAGGAAGAGTTAAAAACCTATTGACTATACATTTGTACATATCACATAATATCATTTTCGACACTCTAAAAAGATGGACTTTTGCTGTTAATTTTTATTAATTCATTCATTACAGACCATAGTCAAATTTTCTGTTGTTTGCTTTTGAATGATCCTAGTAATGATTTTACATAGTAGAAACCTAATATAATTTAGTTGACTCGAGTAGAACATATATGGTGGACTTAGTTAAACGCCCTCACTCATTGTTTATGTAAGTTACATCATGTAATAGAGAGTATGCTTTAATTTTAACTCTGATGGTCCCATGAAAAACACTCTGAAATTGAAATGCTCTCGGATCTTTCATTAACACAATTTCTTCTTCCTTTTACATCATTTTTAATTTTTATCTCTTTTGTCCCCACTTTCCGTTCGTATCAAACCTCGTTCTCGGTCTCACGCTACACCTTTGACCTTTCCGTAGTTGATTCTTCCTATCTCTCTCTCTGACTCTGTTTATAACTATTCTCTTGGCCCAAAAACAGATGGGCCTACCTCTCTACCATTCTTGCTGAAAAACAATACATAACCCAACTAGTTTGTCCACGGGCTGCTGATTGCTTCCATGTTTATCAGCTTATCCAAAGTACGTTGAGTTTAAGAAAAAATGGCAAATCCAAAACTGAATGCTATTTTATCCACGAGTAACTAGAGTATTTGGTAGAAAATATTAACACCCTTTGCAAATCAGAGTATGATTTGACATTCAATTTCGAAAACGAAATTCCAAATTGATAATGCTTACCTAGATCATTTTCTTATAATGATGATATGAAATCGTTGCTTTGACCAATCATGAGCAGAGAGTAAAGTGGCATCTTCCCAGCTCTACACGTGGCGGAAACATGGTTGAAGAGAACTTCGAAGCACGTGGTCCTTTGACTGTTGCATGTTACAATTACGTACGTAGATATTAATTTTAACTTTTTATGCCAATCATTATAGAGATTGCATAATAGTCCAGTTATTAATTTGAAGGTAGTCAACAGAACAAGAAATAACAGAGGACAATGGAAAGTTCTCACGTGCCACCATGTGATTTTTAACCCCATGAAGATACGAAGATCAATATCTTGTCAATGAATGATATATTTAACCCTATTTGATAACTTTTCCGATAAATAATCATATAGATCGATTATGAAGACAAGACGTGTAGTTTAATGGTTTATGCCATTGTTATCAATTCAGATTCAAGAAGTTAGCATAATGCATGTAGTTGTTAATTAATGGATTTATGCGTTGGACATTAACCATCTCATTCGCAACTCCTATATATAACAAAAGTTACAAACCTAAGGCTTAGGTCTCTCATTATATCTGCAATTGAGTATACATCTCTCTATCTCTTTTTCTTCACGAGTCTTTCTTTGCAAGCGTCAAAACAAAATGGCATTCTTAGAAATGCACAACTCCATAAATGGTGCTGCTAGAATCTCTTTCTCTAACGGTTTCGTCGAGATCAGATCGGAGAAGAGTAATAATGCTAAGAGCAACAGCATCAACACGAGAAGCTCTCTGTCCACGTCTTCTTCTGATTTCGAGTTCTCGGTCACCGATAACACCATGATCCCCGCCGATGAAATCTTTCTCAAAGGAAAGATCTTACCTTTTAAAGAGACCATGACGTTGAGAGAAGAGCTTCTTGTTGAAGAAGAGGCTCCTGTTGTCGATGGCAACATCTTTTCCCTTAGGCCACTAATTTTGCCTTCTTCCTCTTTTTCCACAAAGGGCACGTGGAAGGATCTATTGGGGCTTAAGAGGATCCATGTTAGATCTAAGAAGACGGATCAAATCAGTGAGGAAGATATTTGTTCATTGGGTCAAGATCACAAAACAATCTCAGGTATCCAACAAAATCCTCCGGTCTAGTGAACCAGGTGGTCGAAATCTGCGTTAATTTGAGCTGGCGAGGGAGTGTCAAGTTGGAGATACGTGATGAAGGAATAGTAGAGCTTTCACTTGGTTTCTTGAAATCTAATTTGTATTTATATGTTCTTTGGACAAAGATGGTTCCAGCAACTCTTATTGGCTCACGTGTTTTGTTGTTCTTGTCAGTTTGTTGTTTTGTTATAGAAACAATATTTTGTGTGGGAACATCTCTATTTTCTTTATGCAAGTGGAAGATTTGTGTGTACCAAAAAAAAAAAGAGAAGAAAATAGTTTTATTACTGTTAGTTATAAGTTGATACATTCACTTTCTTTTGTCTCAAGAGTCACTATCTTATCAACCTATATATTAAATTAATTGAACTCAAAATTAAAATGAGGAAATATATGATGCAAATCAAATACGAAATACGTAGATATAGAATTATGGTTCATAAATGCTGCAGTCAAAGATACATACAAAAACTTCTATATTGGGCCGCAAAGCCCAACTTTATAAAAACGATACGAACGATTCTCTCGTCGCCTTTTTTTTTGTTGACAAGAAAAATAAACAAAAAGGGGTAATTTTTTGCTTTCAACATTAAAGGTACTTCTCCTCTTGGGTTTTAGTGTACGTTCCCGCATCTTTGTGTTGTGTCAGTTTCTTTAACCGATCAGTACAAGTACGACAATTACACATTTTAATCATAACCTCTGAGTATTTTCATTGAATCGTTGAATCTTGAGTTCTGGTATTTTTAAAGTAAGAGTGATAATAATGACAAAAAAGAAAAAAAAAAAGGAACAGAAAAGGAGAGACCAACATCAAATGGGGGAAAAGTGATTAATAAAGTCATTCTCGGTTTAGGAAATTAAGAAAGTTAGTATAATAATGGCAGAGTTTGGTATGAAAAGATTTGTGATTGACTAGTTTCTTCACTGATAGAGAATGGCCCGGAAATAAACATCAATCATTTCTAACATTAAAAAAAACTTAGTACTATGTAAATAAATAAAGCAACTAGAAAAGGCTATTTAACTGGAGAAAAAAAAGAGAGGGAAAAACTGCAACAGGCTTTTCAACAGTTCTTTCTACTCATATTTTTGTTTAATAGCATGTGAATCATACATAAGTCCCTAGTTAAATCATTAGTGTAGCACGTAAAATCAAGTGACAATAAACTACTAATTTTGGACATTGAGAAAGCCTGATGAATAAACAGTAATATTCCATTACTACGTCACCCATCTCAGTTTCACCTTTTTCTTGCTCTACACTCTATTTTCATTGTTCATCATATAAATTAAAATCAAATATTATATACCAACAATTTTTTTGGAAGTGGGCAAAAACTATTACGAAATATATATATTTATGTGCCGAAGAATGAGAAAAGGCATAAGCACATCAATAATGGTAGCTAAATTAGTTTTCTTTTTCTTTTTTTGTCAACAAAAAAAATCAATTTTCTTATAAAAGTTTTTTTTTTTTTAATGTCTTCTACATTTTACAACAAAAATTCATTTTATGCTCTTTCTTCAACAACTTATTAATTACTCTAAGAATTTAGTTAATTAATTGAAAGATCTTTTTTTGGTCCTAATTAATTGAAAGATCTTTTTTTTGGGGTCGAAATTAATTGAAAGATCTAATTAAAGTTATTGATTATTTGAGAGATATTTACATTTTTTTCCCGAAAGAAAAATGAATAGATTACATTTTTTTAATAGATTATTACTATTGCGGAATAATAAGTACGTAGGTGAATGATCATCGTCTTCGTCTTTAAGGATTCAATTTTACCCACTCGTATCGTCCACCAAGTGGCTCATCTTTCTCGAAATCGAAGTTATACCTGTAAATTCATTAACCAGATCGTTAGTTTTTAACATCTTCATCAGTTTTGCCATCGTTGAAATGGAGGATTTAGATCAAAAACTTTTTTTTTTTTTTTGAACAAGATTTTATTAATTTAGATCAAAACTTACTTCCTAGAACATTCCATCATCTTATTCCGGTGATGTTTCTCCGCCGCCTGGAAAAAATCTTCTAGCTCGGCTTCCTTCACCGTCTCAGGGCCCTTTCTATGCATCCTTAACCGGCGGCGAGACTCGACCTCTTGGTTCTCCGTCGCCGCCGAATTCATGTTAACCGATCCTTCTTGCTGCTCACTGTATGGATCTCTCCTGCTTTTCAGATCAAAAGACACATTTATATGAGAAATTATAATTACAATTTTGGTAACCGACGATTCAAATTCGAAACTCCAGAGATGATCAAATTTAAATCTCCGTAACAAACCTCGTCGTGTTGAAGTTATCATAAATCCACGACGTTTCGGTTTGATCAGCGCCGTTATCTTCCTGAAAATTAAACGATGATCAAAAATCATCAGAGGATCGAGAAACGAGAAAGAGAAAGAGAGGAGGAGACGACAATGCTCACCTCGAAATCAACAAAATCGATCCTCCTTTTCGATTTCTCTTCGGATCTAATACTTGAGCAGCAAGAGACCGACGCGCGATCGAAATCACACTCCGAGCTACGAATCTGACACCGTTCTTCTACGGGAGAATCTCGCCGTCGAACGATAACGACGCTGGTCTCCGACGCACCAGCTGAATTTCTCGCCACGATCCCACCACGATTCGTTGCCTGTACGCAAGGAGAGTAGATTATCCTAGACTCTGCAATATCTACTTCCTCCTCCAGCTTCCTTCGTTTCACAGTCGGCGTCCTCGTCGCTTCGTTTTCTTCCGCCGCATCTCGTTCTCTTCTCCTACCTCTCACACCGACCTCTCCCGCCGCCATCGATCTCCGACGTCACTTTTCTCTCTCTCTCTCGTTGTGCGTGTGTGTGTATTCTCTCTCTAGCTCTTGTACCAATTTGGTTTGTTCTGTTATACTACTACTTGTGAGGGACGATCGTAATTATTAACGGCCACGATCTACTCTCTGTCATTTTCACTGAGAAAAGCCTCGTGTGAAGACGGAATGGTATTGGTGTGGTGGGGACCATGAGAGACGCCGAATATGTAACGGGGAATTTGACGGCGCCGTTATATCGATCATAATCTTGTACACTCTATGACCGACACGTGTGCTTCAATCATTACGTTCATTAACATTTAACGGCATCAAACGTTACATAATCGGTGCGTATTTTTTAGTTTTCTTCGAATAAAGTTTTTAGACGTAAATAGAGTCCAAATTCGAATATTTTGGATCAATCGGATTTTAGTTTTTTTTAATCGTAAGAACTAGGAAGGAGAGAATGAGAATAATTCTCGTGGTTTTAAGATAAGATCGGGATTTGTTTATCTCTTTTAGTGCTAATAATTGTAAGTCTATACGAAATGCCAATAACATCCCTCGTTTTACTGAGAAATAACCAAAATACCATCGAACCATCACGGGCGATCCTAAATTACTTATTTTCCTTTTTTTTTAATGATGAGAAATTTCGTGTTTTTTTTTTTTGTTTTTTTTTTTTTTGGATTCTAATATTTTATAAGGTATAGACGATAATAATAAAGTCGTATATAGTTTTACTAAATCGTCGTAAAATGTCACTTTATAAGGGGGTCGACATATCTTAATAAGGAGAAACGGAGGGTACAAATACACAATAAATCTTAGGGCCATGACGTTATTTAACAGTTAGGTGATAACGAAATGAATGCTGTAACATGCTCATTTGTTGTTGTGGCAATATATATAATACGGACACGAACATATTCACATGCTTAGATATTAATATACAACAGTGAAAACAAAACAACATTGACATTACGCATACATAAATTAATATGGATTATTAATATCAAGTTGGACAGAATTATATGGGACATGGCTGGGTATATATAAATGGTGTACCGGCACTTAATTTGCTTTACTAATTTTTATTTTTTGCCATCTAAAAATAAATATTTGTTGATTAAAAACAAAAAAAAAACAATTTCCAAATTTACATCTATCATCGTCTTTTGTCCTATTGTGATTCTCATTTTTCGTCGTCCTATATTATTTTCTTGAATACACACGATACAGAATATCCATCATACCATTAAATTTAATAATATGCCCACGAGCCTACATCCTACTCAATCATTGCTTAACTGCCTCTCTCTTGTTTTGCACCCACATAAAAATGTGAATTTTCGTGCAATATTCTCGTAACTGCTGCAAAGCAAACTGTTAAAATTACTTGCCAATAATATAAGTGCAAAACTAATTAACATCCAATATTGTTCGTATATATATGTATATATATTTAAATATATACGGACAATACGGTGGCAAAAAATATTTTATTTTATTTGTACCAACATATAGTTTTGTTAAAATTTGAGTTTGCCTATTTATGTTAATGGTTTTAGTTTGAAAAGAAAAAGCCATTTGAAAGATTCAAAGTAAACCATTTATACTTCCAAATTCAATAAATCCACAAATTTTACAAAGTCTACGTGTGAACAAATATCAGTTTTGATGGATAATTTTAAAACTATGATCATTGTGATAACTGATAACATATATCGAGAAACATTACTTTTAAGACATGTCCCAAATTTTATCCAACTATAAAGACTGTGTCGATCATGAAAAGTGAATTTGCGACACATCTAAATGATTTGTTCCAGAGAGAAAAGATACTATCCAATAAAACGAAAAAGACTAAGTGAATGCAGACAAGGGCACATGGGATCTTTAGTGATATGTATAGTGTGGGCACGAAAATTTATAATGAATAAAGTATAGATTACCAAAAGAATTTGTAATTACGTATAAATGTTAGTTCGCTATTGACTGACTACGAAACACTTTCTATGTAGCTTTTTCTTTTATTTTCTCAGTTATAGCAAAAAGATATCGACATCTTTATAACCATTTTACAATGAATGGATACAATACAATCTGAAATACATAAAACAACAACAAAACGGAATATGGTGTAGTTTTTAGAAAGTTTGTGTTTAAACGTTTATGCAAACCAAATTCGCGAAGCAACTTTGCCATTTCTCCATATATATATATATATATATATATATATATATATAAACTCATCAATTTAATAAAACATGTCCCTCTTTTACTGTAAATCATTGAAAAATGATATACTTCGCCACACATAGATGAAATTGGTGTGAAAAAAAATAACCAGTAACAAGAAAAGAGATAGCTTTAATAAAATACGGTTTTTTTTTTATTTCTTGGGACAACGATGATTAACTACAGTTTATAACTTCATATGCCAAAGAAAGCTGACGACAACTTTATATAGTTAAAGAAAAAGGTTACATTTTTCTTTTAAGCAATAAAAAAAGAAATAAAGTGATGTATTTTCCGGGTACTTTACAAATATTATTCAAACAACTCAATTATATATAGTGGGGGAAAAGAAAGCAGATCACTTTTTTTTGTTTAAGTCGAACTTTTTCTTTTTCTTCCTCTGGATTTTCCAATGCTTCAAATTACCCTACATGACTCTCTTTCCGAAAGGGAGACGCATGAAATTTTATAATTTTATAAAATGTAGCTAAAGTGGATTCATCTTTCTTCTTCGATGGAGACAATGAAGAAATTATGCATTATTCACGTGGTTTTCTTCTGCGCCAATATTTTCTTATGTAATAAAAAACAAACGAAACTTTAATTCATGCGTTGCGTATGCATTATATCAACATTACTGGAACTTATATACATATTATTATCTTTTATTCAAAATGTGCCTAGTTAAACCAGTTGATGCAAAAGATTATTTTCGTGATATGATGAGAATGAGATCCAAATGAAGAAGCATTTCATGCTTTATATATATGGAGTATCACATGTATATCATTAATCTCACGGTTATATTAGCATTATGTTGGAAGCAAATGTTATAAAACTAGATGTTATGATATTTTGATTCTACATTTTGCAATACGTTATTTATATGTGTCATGGACCTGGGTCCAACAATAAAACGCAATAAGGATACATATAGCTTGCCATGGTGTGCAATATATATACATATGATAAATTATATGAAGAGCCAATATAATTATAGCATAAATTGATGGATTATGCAAATTAAGCCAGAAAAAATAGCTCCAATACATATAAGTTAGAGTAAGTTGGTAAAATTAAAAATACATCCTAAAGAAACCAGCGAGATTTGCACATGATAATATTTTAGTTACAAATAGAATTGGATGTATATTCAAAACAAATATCAGCGGAATTCGCCACAAAACAAAAAACAATTCGTTAATATTGTTAGCTTTTCAGTTAAACCAAATTTCTCCACTCCACAATTTTTCTTCACTGGTTTTGCGGAACCCGCCGCAAATAGTGTATGGCCGAAATTTGTTAGTAAATTTTGTGTAACCAAATTCTAAAACCTATACGAAACGACAATATATAGTGTTAATGATACAGAGGATGTATCTAAATTGTAATAAATTTATAGACCCATCGACAATTATTGGCATGATAGTGGACTATAGCAGAAGAGGACAAGCTACATTTTAGTTATATGTAAGAAGCTATACAAATAGCTAGGACCTCAAAATCAAACACATTTACGCATACATAATGCATGTCCCTATCCACGTATTTATACGCACCGAAGATGTATAAACACAACGATATATACAAATAGATGTTTGTTGGATACCAGCTAATGTACGTGGACCAGTCATCAATCGTGTATTAATTAATACATAATCGATTTGAAAACATGCCCCCATCTATACATAAACTGTCCTATACACTGGACCATTCTATGATAACTGATTTAAATAGATTAGTCAAACTAATTGATTGGATTCATATAAAAGTTTAAATTGTTTCAATCATTGAAAAGTTTGTTTTTCTTTTTGAACTTTTCTAGACGTAAAGTTACGTTTACGTATTAAGATAGTTGCATGTTAAAACTTAAAAGTATCACAGTTACATGTAAATGAAACATAATACATTATATTGCGGCGTCGTTTCTTCGGCTAGAGAAGAGTAAATGAACTCGGAGAAGAACTCTGAAGAAGAGTGATCTTAACGTGTGTGCCCTTCTTCAATGTCCATCGCTGTCTCTTGGAGGTTACCACGTGGATATTTACGTACGACAACCTCATTTACTGCGCGCGTGTGATATATATCTTCTCACTCTTGTAGTTTTTACATTTTAGCAGTTGATACTTGATAACGAATACATTTCTCTCATCTAATTTTTTACTTTCTGACGCTCTTTCTAATCTTTACGAACAAAATTATACTTTTGCTGATTAGTAGCAATAATAGACTGAACAAATTCTTTACCACAATCGCAAAATATCACCAATCACACAGGTCGACACTCGACAGTATATTATTTGTTGTCTTGGATTAATTTTTGAGGATGTAATGTTGTGCTGTATGAATATACATTGGAAATGTTAAAAATGAGATATATATTAAGTTTGTAGGTTTCGTTTTCACAGAGGGACGGCTCTCTCCTTGTTCTCGTCGTGGCTCTTTCTCTTCCTCTCACAATTTATATAAAATTTCTAAATTTGAAATACCATTGTTCTGTACATGTCTCACCATTTAATTGATTAGGTTGTATGTGCTTTGAAACAAGGCATAACGACAAAATGTCATTTGACTTGCTTAGTTGCTTAAAGAATATATTTTAAAAGTTTTTATCAACATCTGATTTGACTTTTAACGACTGGCTTGTTTTCTTGCTTGAAATCTTCCTCTTAGTCTTGGGCATTACGTTATACAGAATACAAAGAAACTTCTTTACTCTCTCTAGCTTCAGACTTTTATTGCTTTTTAATCTTCATTCGAGTAATATCCTTTTCTCTAACAAATTTAAACGAGGTAACAACATTTGACAAAAGAACGCTGATATTTACTAATTTTATCACTCATAGACCATGTCCATCGGCGTTTTTAAGGAGTTTTTAAAGCAGTTTTTTAAGTAAAAAAATAAATAAAAAAATCAGTAAGGTGCAAATAGTATAAAAGCCGGTTGTTATTTGAGAGATTTAAGAATCGGTAAAAACCTCATATGTGTCAGTTTCTGATTGATCGATTAATTTTAACCTAAGAAAAAAGAAAAATCCTCTCTCCCGATATAAACGAGAGAATTTTTTTTTTGCTTTTCCGATCTCCCTCTCTTCTCCACATCTCTCTCCCTCTCTTCTGATCAGGTTTTACTGATTCGATATCCACCTTTTTGTTGATTTGATCTGATGGATCATCGTTTTGGGCTTGTTTTTTTTTTTTTTAAGTTTAGCTCCTCCGATCTGAACCCATGTCTATTCTTCTTCATCTTCCTCCTCACGGATCCATTTTTAGAGGTTTATTTAACCTTTGAATCCGTTTTGATATTGTGGGAAGAGTGGGGTTTTGGTGTTTCGCTTTGAATCGTTTTCCGACTTATTGTTAAGTTGTTTGAAGCGGTCCTTACTTCTCACCCTGTTATGAGTACTCAAAATGTTGATTAGAGCATGCAAAGGTTGTGTGGGAGAGCTTTGATGTGTAATTAAGAATTAGTTGTTTGGTTTTTATGTGCAATTGCGTATCTTTCTATATGTTCTTGACTTCCCAAGGAATCAAAATCAATATATTATGTGTTTTCTTATATAAAAACTGTTTATGTGACGAGTAAATGTTGGTTAGAGTACAAGAGGGAAATATTTCTATCTACACTTGTTTGTTTGTTTTCCTGATTATGGGTATGAGATTACCGGAAGTAATTTTCTCTGCAATTTCCTGCAGGCTCTGGCTACTAAGGAAATTGAGTCACTGAAGGATGGACTTGCTTCTGACAAATCATGTCCGAGTCTTGAGCTCTTTGATCAGTGTAAAAGCTCGGATTTGATCAGTGTAAAAGCTCGGATTTGTCTGAGTTGGAGGCATGGACTTTACCTCGTTCACTTGGAACTCCAGTGAATCATACGAGTGTGCCATCTTCATATGAGTTATGCATCAGCCTTGTTATATAGAACTCCCTTTTTGTTCTTTATTCTTAGTTCATGTTCTTTGGAATGAACATGTAGTCTTATAGTTACTAACATCTATTTTGGTATCTATCTATGTAGACACATTGTAAAGCAAACCCCATGCTTGATTTTCACAAGTACATGGATGCGTGCTCTTGAGGATGATTTCAAACAACTCGTTGGTATTAGTTGGTATCTTTAGATCTTTGTCGTCATCTTCTTGCTGCTGAATGTTAATGGTAAGATTCACGAAACTTAAAACTTTCTTTATGTCTAGTTTCGATCAAGCCAGATTTTTGTAAGTTTTTAGATTCCAGAACATTTTAATCTCATATTCTTGTTTAATTGTGTTTCTGCAAGTGTTTTTGATTGACATATCAAAAGTATAATTTTTTTTCTTCTTAAGAACCCATTAAGGATTCTACCAATGGACGATCAAAAAGTTAAAATCTGTGACCAAGTTTCTTAAAATTAACTGATGGAAATTTTATATTAAACAATTAGTTAAAAACCTTATCAGAGGTTTACCGATAGAGATGCTCTAAGCTTCCTCAAAATGTAAAATCATATATATAATGAGAAACTCATCTCTCCATCTAAGGTGTCTACATCAGTATATTTTTAATTGTAAAATGAGCTTTTAAATATTTTGGATTTTGTTTTTAAGTTTTTATATTTAGATATTTGTTTTTGGGTTTTCAATATAATTAATTTAAAATTAAAAACAAATACATATTTTACAAATCATAAAATTACAAATTCTTCATTTGTGAAAAGGGATTTGGAAGGCAACAAAATACAAAAGATTACAGAAAATAATTATCAAACTTTAAAAAAAAACATTAGAAAGATTTATATATAAAGCTAAAGTAAAATCATATATATAAAATAAATACTTATTTTACAAACTATAAAAACTACAAATTATCTTTGAAATTAAAAAATTAAAAATTTATTTCGAATATAAACAAACAGAATTTAAAAAAAAGAGTTGAAAAGTGAACAATTACGAAAGATGACAGAAGAACTAGCTAAGAATAGTTATCAAACTTATTTAAAAATGCTCAAAAATATTAATGCTTAAAACTAAAGTAATATCATTCATATCCACTTTACTGTGTAAAATGGATGAAAGTTTTTCATAAATAAATTGTTTAATTATATAGCATAAAAATGAATTTGATTTATACGAAGTAGAAAAAATATGGCAAATAGTTATCAACCATTTATTCTCAATGATAGTAATATAAAATTGATATGTGATCATTTTACTCACCAGTCAGATAATATATGAATTTTAATCTAAAATATATAATTAAACTAAAACAAGATTACTGATTATACTTTTTAACATATTCATGTTGTTTACATTCACATAATATAAAAATAGACAAAAATATTCTCACATACATTCACAAATATAGTAAGATAGTTCATCATTGAAAAAGGAAAACGCCTCAAATCAAGTAAAATCATTAAGTTATCAAGTACGCATAATTTTTTGATATGAAACCTCATCAAACATATGTAATATTTAAACATATTTTTTGCTATGTCTAGCCAATTCTAACTAAAATTCTCCTCATTTAGAGTTATAACAGATCACGGAACTGAATGAGATGGAAGCTTGCATGAAATAAGAGAAAAAAAACCAGTAAATTGCAATCAAAATAGCAAGACTAAGAGCTATAAGAAAGGGAAAATAAATAAAAGAATAATTGTGCTTGAAGATGAGTTAGATTTTTTGAAAATCGATATAAAATTAAGGGAACATTCAGTTTAGAATGGAGAAGGATCGATGATGATTTCACTTTGTTGATCTATGAAAATAAGATGTAGAAAAAGATAAAAAATCAATTGAATACAAATAAACAGTAAAAACACATAATACTTATTGCAGTATATAAATATATGAAATACTTTTTCAACAATTAATATATTATAATCTATATTAGAAAAATAATTTATAATATAAATATATATATATTTATTTTAAGAAAACAAAAGCATTCAAAAAATAAAAAATATATATAACACACAATAATATTAATTTAATATATATTATAATAATATTAATATATAAATAAGTTTGCGCAACACGCGGATAAAAATCTAGTTTTACAAAAAATTAAGAAACAGCTTACTATAGAGTATCGGGCTCTTTAATGGCAAAAAGAAAAATGTATTGGGCTTATTTCAAATATAGATGAGCTTTTGACTTTCTATCGAATCAAGTAATAGAAATGGATTTCGTCACATAGTTGGGCCTTCATCTATTTCCTGGGTTAGCTATTAAAATCTACATAGACCATTTTTATTCTTTGTTTGGTTGGCTTACCTCATCAGTTTCTTGGGCCAAACCAAACAAAATCTAAAGTACTGTAATATTTTTTTTTTGTGCAACTGGATCATAACATATAATATGGTAATTTTCTAAGCACAACTTGAATTCGTGATATTCAGATTCAAAAACTCATCACTCGACCAAATCTGATGTTGATGTTTCGTAGAACCAACAGTCAACAAAACTGACATTCCCATAACAAAACTGACCACTCTTTGCATCATTTGTTTCCGTTCATTGATGAGAGCCGTGTTGGATCCCACTCAAAACGTTCAAATACTTGAACCATGTGATACCAACCCAAAATCCTTTTCGCTTAATTGGGAATATTTAACAAATAATGACAGTACAATAAAATAAACAAAGTTCTTCTCTTTTGTTTTTTCTTTCTTTTTTAGAACAAGAAAACTAAACACATTCATTCGAAAGTCGAAACACTAATAAATCAACTAATACAAACAATTTGGTGGGTGATTAATAATTGAGGCTGCTTTTTTCCAATATTTTACTATTTTTTTTTGGGTCGTACGTATAACGATTTGGGGAAAACATTGCAAAGTACTCCCTCCATTTAAGATTGTAATTTTTTTTTTGATTTTTTACATATATTAAGAAACCATTATTATTAACTACTTTTGATAATATTTTTTTTTGTTTTAATTGTATACTTAAATACTCAGATAAACCTTTACTTTTTGTTATTAGTTTTAACTTTTTATATTTCCAATAAATTTTTATTTTTATTTTTTGTTTTTGTAAAATAAAATTTTATGAATGTAAAAACCAATCTTTTGGAATAGAAAAAAGCCCAAAAAATTTTATAATTTGGAACGGAGGGTATCACTATTTCCTGTAAGACTGCGAGTCATGATATGCCGCATGCCAAATTCTAATAATGATAATATATATTTCATCATTTATATCTTCATTTGCATGCCTAATAATAATATTCTTATACATATATTTATAGATATACAGAGTTACCATCGACGTATCCCATGACACTACCCTCGGGCTATAAATAATTAGGGAGGGTTTAGTAACCATCAATGGACCGTCCCAAACTGCGACAAGCCCGGCTACACTATTTTATACTAGTAACAAAAATTAAATTATATTTTTATGCATGTTTAAAAAAAAAATTAAATTATACACTGAACTAGCTAGTATTATATAGATTTGGAAAGTTATAAACTACGATGGAGCATAGTATCAAGCGTTTTGGAGTATTACATGAAATCTTGAGAAGACCTACAAAAACACTATTAGTTCTGTTTTTTAAAGCCTACCAGTTATATAACGTACTGGGGCGGTAGCTCGAACTTTAATGTGTTTGTATTAATTTTGTGTTCTTTTGTCATTTATGAGTTTGCATTTCCTGTGCCTAAATTTATGAAAATGTACCCTCTTATTTTAATATTTCCGTACAAGAAAATTGACTTGAAAATAATTTAGGTGAACTTATTCCTCCTAGCTGCTTTAGGATTTGTTTTTCATTTTTTTTTTTAATTTAGTATTGTAAAAGCATTGCAACTATTTGGTTTACTATACTATCTTGATTAACACTTTCAAACTAACAACATTTTTAATAGAAACTAGATAAACAAAAAAGTCTCTTTCCTTCTCCTCCCGCTTTAGATATTTAAATATCTAGCCAACTTAGCGTTTTATAAATTGAATTTATCGAATAAACAGAAACTAGATAAAAAAAAATTAGGCGAAAAGGGACATAATAACATCCGCTTAACAAGGTTAGTAAATGAAGACAAGGCAATGTGCAATCATGATTAGTCCTAAGAAAAGTTTATTAAATATCTCTTATTTTAAAAAGATCTATTCAAATTTAATAAGAAATCAAGATTCACCATGGAATAATTTTTTGTCATTATTATTCTATTGTATAAAGTACTGCACTAGTACTAATTTAAAGTTCTAAACCAAAGACGAACTGAGCTATTATTAAAATTTTGAGTAATTACGAAGCGAAAACTATATAATTAAAACAAAAGATCGAAAGTGTAACGTTCAGAAACTCCAGATGGCCGCGCGTGACATAAAAAGCTCTTTCTCACACTTATAATTTTATAGTAGCATTTTCCACTTTAATTTGAATTTATTGCATCAAATAAGTAAGTTAATTAGTGAAATTTGAAATAAATATTTACACCTTTTAATTTCTTTCTAATTCACTACTAACCTCAAAACTAATTCAGGATCTTACGTAATTACTACAAATGAGATATGCTCTACTAACAAGTCAATCCCAAAATAAGGAAATATTAATAGCTTACTACAATAATATAATTTCCTGATCCGAAAGCTTTGCTTAATCTTTGGTTAAACAGAATTAAATTATCTTATTCTGAGATTAATTAGCGAAGGGTAAAAAGACAGTCCCCATGTTTTAATGGCAGTGGCTCGACTTTCCACGAGGGAAACTTTATATTATACAAAATCTCTGCTCAGACTCCAAATGCTAAACTCTTTTGGCTTCTTCTTCTTTCTTCTCAGATTCTCTGAATCCGGAAGAGGATTCATGAATCCATCTCGTCTCTGTAACTAAGCTCCTGTTTCTCGTTTTCTCTGTTCCCGAAGCTTCTAGAATCATCAATGGCGGAGTTCATCTGTTTATTCGGCAAGGTTCTGATCTTTTTCTCTCTCTCTCTCATCTCTTTTTATGATTTAAGCTTCTGGGTATCTATGCATGTACGTTTCATCAATGGAATCTACCTGCAAAATCTGGTTTTTGTTTTTTCATAAAGATTCAGCTATGGTTTTTTTTGGTTCTCTCTGTCATTTCTCCATTGTATAATAAAGATAATAAATGGGATTGATTTTTGGAACAGTATCTATCTTTTTCTATATTCTTGATTCCAACTTTGATTTGAACCAAATCTTGTTCCTAATTTTGAAAGAGGAAATTAAAAAGAATAACAAAAAAAAGAAACCCTAGAGAAAGCAATTGGGGAAAGAAGACTCGCTTAAAAACTGTTAAATTAAAAGACTACTTTTGATGGTTGATGTAACAGGACAGTGCAGCTATTGTAATAAAGCCACCAAAGAGATCACCTTTGTTCTTGAGGATGATAGTTTTGGTGTTTGCTATGGTTTGTGGTCTCTACATCTGCTCCGTCTGCTTAAAACAGTTTGGTAATGTCAATCTCCAAAGCTCCCAACTTGTTCCAAACCCTATCGATTCTCACTCATTACACGTTTTTACTCGGATTCACTACCCAAAGCCACAGACTTTCAACAGGTAAACCAACTCTTATCAACCTCTGTTCTTTGTCTACTCTTTTCCTTATGTTTTGTTTGTCTTTTTTAAAAAAATTCTTTGTCTGTGTGTTTTCCTTTAAAACAGAGCTGAATGTGGGCATAACCCGGTGAGGTTCTTTGCGATATTGTCGATGCAGAGATCAGGAAGCGGTTGGTTCGAAACTTTGTTGAATAGTCATAACAATGTTAGCTCTAACGGTGAGATTTTCTCGGTTTTGGATCGAAGAAGAAACATTTCTTCAATCGTTCAGACTCTTGACAGAGTTTATAATCTCGATTGGTTTACGAGCGCTTCAAAGAACGAATGCTCTGCTGCGATTGGATTCAAATGGATGCTTAACCAGGTAACAAGATTATACAAAGTCAAAAACTTGAAAAATCGCTTGTTGGATAACATTGTTTTATAATAACTTTGTTTGATGTGATTATGTGTGCAGGGTTTGTTGGATAACCATGAAGAGATTGTAGATTACTTTAACAGAAGAGGTGTCTCTGCTATATTCTTATTTAGAAAGAACCCTCTAAGAAGAATGGTTTCTGTGTTGGCAAATTCTTATGATCGCTACGCTAAGCTATTGAATGGAACTCACAAGTCTCATGTTCATTCTCCTCAAGAGGTTTGTATATGATATGTTTTTCGTTTTCTGTTTTTTGGATTCTTGATTTTGGATTGGTTTCTTGATCTTTACAATTCCATTGCAGGCAGATGCACTTTCTAGGTATAAGCCGGTGATCAACTCAACATCGTTGATCCACGATTTACAAGAAACAGAGAATTTAGCTGCAAAGGCTTTAGAGTATTTCAATACCACCCGTCATATGGTTGTCTTCTACGAAGATCTCATAACAAATCGAACGGTAAGGTTTTTATAACATTCAAAGGTTTCAACTTTCAGTGCAAAGTTTTGTTTTCTTTTAACACATTCTAAAAAACTTGGAGACTTTATGGAATCATTTTGATTTATCTCTCGAATAACAGATGTTATTTCTGTTGGTGGGGTTTTGATGCAGAGATTGAAACAAGTTCAAGAGTTTTTGAACATTCCTGTGAAAGATTTGTCGAGCAGACAGGTGAAAATACACAGGGGGGATTTGTCGGATCACATCAAGAACTGGGAAGATATCAACAAGACATTGAATGGGACTGAGTACGAGAAGTTTCTACGAGCAGATTATTAGTGTTTTTAACTATCTACAGAGACTTTCTTCTAAAGGGTTTACAAAATGCAAAAAAGGGTCTTTCTTGTTGAAGCTTTCTCTACTTTCTAGGTTCTTCTGCTCAACTACTTGTTGATCTTTTACTTTCTCCTCTTATCCCTTTAGAACAGAAATCATTTTGTTTCTTTTTCTTCAGTATTCTCAATTGGGTTGTATAGGGAATGAAAAAGTGGGAAATGAATTGCTTTTAGTGTTAATTGCTTACTTTTAGAGGTGAATTAAGTTGTTTTGTGATAGTTGATTTGAGTTTTGTTCTTTCATTTTTGTTGCTCTTTCTTTGGTCCTTCCATGGTTAAGGCCTTATTTCCGTTTATGAAATAGGCCCAACTTTCAAGGGCACAAGATGACCATTAAAACCCCATATATATGAATCATTCGACTTATGGCCTTTGATGTTGGGCCTTTTCTCGTCGGCAAAAAAGAGAATTGTGTAAGTTAATCAATCCTTTTGGTAGAAGAAATTTGCATCAATTTAACGATTGTAAATATAGTTATATCACAGAAACAAAGATTGTAAATATAACTATATCATAAAGACTGTTTTCAAAATTAGGTAAATGATCTTGATTTTCTTCTTTTGTTAGGTAAATAAGTTTGAAGTGAGATCACAAATGCATTCTCATATTGTTAAGGATTTAGCGCGGATTTTAAACAAAACATGCCGTGAGATAATATTTGATGCGATATCATGATATATGTGTTAATCATATGAAAGTGATTTTATCCGATGGCACAATACTTCGGCCGATGATACGTTTATTTTACTCAATTATGAAAAGTATTTTAGTCAAAACATACAAAATTCTGATTTTCTCTTATTTACGATTTTTTCATAATTTTTTTTTTACCTAAATAAGTTCAGATTTAGACTATATAAATTCTAGACACTATATAAACAAGTGCGTATTGTTTAGTCGCATAATTTGGGTCTCTTTAATTAGTTTTATGAAAAAAGAATTATATATATTTTTAAAAGAAAACTAAGATTGTGCCACTGATCAATCAAAGAGAATAATATCTCAACTTTCCTTGTAAAGATTCACTTTGAGGCAGGAAGAAACTAAAGAAGCTTCAAAATAGTATAGTTAAATGAAATATGCTTCATGCAGACCAAAAGATTGAAGCAAAGGGGAAAACAAAAGCAAGAGTGAATGCCTTTGAACCGCTAGAATTTTGAGACGAACCAACTTTAAGGTTGGAAAGTTGAAGGAAACAGCCTGTGCGTGTTTACAAATTTATGAAAAGGACATGTGATTCCTTAGAAATTGATTCGCTCCTTTAATAGAACAGTGAGTTTTTTTATTTTATACGAATATGTAAATTAATATTAGATAATTAGTTACGTTTTTTTTTTATTGAAGAAAACCGTGAGAATGTAAAGAATATATATACCGCGCATGCGTAAAAGAAACACAAATCCCATTAGCATATAACAGAATCCATGAACATTTTGAAACGATTTTCTGCTATGTCTCAAAATCGAATCCATAATGTGGTTACAGTGGTGAATGTATATGATTGGCTTGTACCGAAGTAAGCCAACGATTCACAAAATAACTTAACTCTACCAAGACTTCACCAACTCAATACTTTGATAAATCCGTTACTTTGTTACCAATACTTATACAAACATTCCAACTAATACTGACTATTCTGACGAACCAACGTCAGAGAACAATGGTTTATGGATCCCATATGAAACCCCACTTGATTTTGCTGTATTGGAAAAAAACTTACCATGATTCAACAAACACGAACCACATCATATAAATATATATGAGAAATATTCTGATAAGATAACACCGAATATAGTATGTAGCGTACTCTTCTTTGGTGGGCACTATAGCCTCCAAATCACGTTACTAATACTCTCTTTATATAATGATGACGAAGAGAACCCTAATCCCAAGATTTCTAGACTTATAAAAAGATCACACATGATTTTCTTTTTACAGTTTATTTCCATTCCTTTTAACTTCCTAAACCCATAAACAATAACATATGCTTTCTGATTTCAAGTTATCCCTAGTTAACAAATGGATGTTCCTCCTTTTCCATTTCTATTTGTTTTTTAATTTTCAAAAACTCTCCGTCTACGAACTTCTCTTCCTTTTTCTTTAAGTAACTCCTAGACTTTTCAAAATTCACGCTTCATTTTTTTTTTGAACATTTGTTTAACTAAAACATTAGTTAAGCCCTAAGATGGTGTATACCTATTTATTGTATTGTGAAAATTATGATCAACATCTCAATATACAGTATTGATAAGGATATCAATATGAGAAATACCCCCATATATAACAGTATAATAATGCCAAGTTTATGTATATATCCAGGTCATTAACAAAGAGGGTAGAGACTATGATCCAAATTTTAATCTTTCATTGTTATGATTAAAAATCTAAAGTCAATGGTGACTAAAAGAAAATACATATGATTAATACATTATCGTTGGTAATAAAACCCATACAAAATCTTTGTCAAAAAAAAAAAAAACCCATACAAATTCTCTCGTTTCTTTTTTATTTATTTAAGAGAAAACAACTTGTTGAATGTTGACATTGGTTGTACGTCGTATAAATAGAAGCTTTGGTGGCGGAGGCTACGGTGGGGCCCCTCGTAGAACTTCCCTGTGTGCAGGAGCCAACCAAAATTAAAAAAAGCTTTCTTTCACTTTTAAATATGTCATTCACTCTGTATTCTTTTATCATTTTTGTATCACTTCTTATTATATGCAATTGCATGCGCATTCTACTACCAATACTGTATAATTCTACCAATATATATAGGTTTAAGTTTGAAATTGGACGATTATTAATTCCGACTGCATCATTCACATGATTTATTTATAAAACGAACTGTTGTCATAAAATGTAAAAGTATATCAATGGATTTTATAAATAAGATATTTTGATGCTAATTACAATCATTTTTGTTTTGAAACTTAGTTTTTAACATTTTTCCTAAAAAATGCTAAAAGTTAATGAGATATACAAGAAATAGACATAGGAATCAAATTTTTGAGAAGTATGAGATGTGAATATCTAGTTAAGTATATCCTTTTATGTTTAATTGTTGACGGTAATTATATTGATTAAACCCTTAAAAGTAATATAAGTCCTCATGTCCTACATACGAAAATTAGTTAGGTGACAAAATAAACAAACATAATAAGTGAGTGGGGTGAGTGATGGCGCCATATAGTGGTTTTGTTGATGGTGATAGCGCCTTTGACTTTTTCTAGTGAATTTATTGACCACTTTGCTTTTCTATATTTTGGTTATATTTGATTCCCTTTTTTAATTTGTGTATTTTGTCATTATTATTTATTTTGGAAATGGTATATTCTTAGAAGCATGGCGGCGTCGGCTGTCAGATGCGAGTTGAAAAGAATAATAATAACATCCACAAACAAAGTGGCTCTAGATTAGCGATTTTCGTCCCCTAAATCGAAGACTGGTAACAATGTTACAACTTACAAACTAGTCTAATGTTTCAGCTCATGAGACTACATTTTCATAACACTTAGAGCACCATTTTTGTTTCTTTGCATATGATCCAACCATTTTAGGAAAATTATTGACCTATTCTATAGGACGACATACATGTAACAATCTCAAAAATGAATAATGCAACATGCAATATATGATTTTTTTTTAACGGACGACTCAACCTACAATTTCAAACTTTGAATCCAAAATAAAAAAAATTCTATACATTATACTTATGTTTCACGTGCATTAAAATAAAAATTGTTATCCGCTGGACAATCACAAAAAGTAATTCGAAATAAACACAAAATTGAAAAAAAAAAAAATAACAATGATCTGAATTCTGAATATTATATATTGAGAGAGAGTATTTGGCGATCACTGCGAAGTCTGTTCACACAACAACTCAAAACTTGATGGGAGCCAACAAATTTTGTACGGGGGTAGTGGAAGATCTTATATTTGTAAGTGACTGGAAGATCTTACATTTTAGTATACTTGGTTTGTAAATTGTAATAATGATTAATATATAGAAATCTCAACTGTATGGCATGACAACATATAGTCGAACATGCATATATATGATCATATTTTACATTTTATTTCGACTTTTTAAAGGGGAGAAAAGTCAATTAAGAATATCTTTTGTCAAATCATTAGAGACTTCTTTTAACTCGTGCGTGTGAAATTAAATAACCTTGTTTCAAATGCATTTCTGTGGTGGCTAAAGGGCGGCTTTTCTTAGCCTTTGAATGATTAATTTAGATTATTAATATAAATTGCCAGGCAAATGTGTAATTTGCTTCCACATCCATCGTTACAAATACAATATGTGTTGCATATTCAACAATGGAGCACTATGGGAGGTTTAGGATCAACTTTTGTAATATTGTATATTTCTTCTTCAACAGAAATAGCAATCGGCCAATAGTTTTGGAATCTCCTTTTAGACATGTAATAGTTATCGTTCATTGATAGTCTAATCTAGCATTTTCTATTTTAATTAACACGAGCAACAGACTTAGAACTATTTGTTGTTTTTTTTTAGAAAAAGAAAAAGAAAAACTATTTGCATGCATGTGCGAATCGAGAACTCTCACAAAATAATCAAATATTATTTTAATATTTATATGATTAATATATAGAGCGTTACATGACAAAGTAGCTGTTAGTAAAATAATAATGTTCGACATTTTAAATGTTATAATCGATTATCTAAAATTGTCAAATAAAAAATAGTATCACTATCATTTTATCATCTCCGAATTGGTTTTATAAACAAAAAGGTAAATAAAGGAAAATAACTTATTTAATCTATAAATAAAACTGTAACTACGTAAGTGTATTTGAAGTTTTGAACGTTATTTCATTAATTTAGAACAGAACCCTTCATACATTTCAGACGGTCTTGGTATTATTATATGATTACTTTGTAATATATAATCAATATTCTTAAATTGCTGATATAGACGGTCCAAAATCAATCAATCAATGTGGTCATTGTCCACACATTTTAAATTCAATGAACGGCAACATAAGCAATCTCATGGCACTATAAATACAATATCTTTGGGGCATTCTTACTCCAAATTCCAGCACAGTACTTACTCATATATACAAACTCCTTAACCTTATAATTCTAATTTCCAAAAAAAACATGAAGCTGTTCACTATCACTGTGGCAACTATCATCATCTCAATGATATTTTACCAAGCATCGATCACCACTGAAGCAAGAAAGTTGAGGAAAACACATCATTTCATTAAAT